GGGGTTGGAATAAGTCCAGAAGAACATCTGGTGACTAAGAAAAATCATATAGTCACTGATTTTAACATTTAAACCAATGGTTGAGTCATTAGAACTTTTCCTACTACTTCGCCATGACGGATATTATACAGGATCAAGAGAGACAAAAGTTTAAGAAAAAGTTAACTCTTTTAAACCTATGTTGAGCTTTTCAGAATATCACTGTTGTTTGTTTTAGAACAAAGCCACATTGAGCTCGTTGCTGTGTCCACCACGGGGAATCGAACGCCGGATTTTAGTGTTCTAAGTCTGTAAAGTTAACGGGGCACTTTCAGAATATTACAAGCTAAAACTGCAACATCCTAATTTGAGAATTCGGTAACAAAAAAAAACAGGAAACAAATGCCATCAAACTATTTGATCCAACAATCATTCCTTTAATCTGTGTCTTTTTCCAAAATCATACAAGTAATTAACATTATAATATCGAAAATAACCGAGCATAAATAACGTATTTACTGCCCGTTAATCATATAATAAAATGTTATGCTATCAGTTTATAATCCGCTTCTTTGGATAAATATAGAAAACAATCTATTTTTATATTTTATTTACCAAAAAGTACAACTGACCAATTTTCACTATAATCGTACGCTTCTAGTAAAACGTTTTAAAGTCTAGATTATTTATAAAATTGAGTTTCCATGGATACATAGATTTTTTTTTATCAAATTTATAGATATTTTTTGGTTACATGAAATAGTTTTAAACATATAAATAACATTCGTACATTGATATATATATTGTGTGTACGGTATGTTAAGGAAATGTGATATACATATTGCCTTTAGCCTAAACTTTTACACGTGAGATAGAGATTTTGTTTGTTTAGAACTTTCGGGCAAAGCTACACGAACAGCTAAGATAGCAGTCCCTAATTTTTGAGTTGATAGACTAAATGTACGATAACTAGTCAATAGAACCCCAGCGAATTCTTGGGCTACTCTAATCGAATAGAGGGATTTGACTTACACTCCCATAACGCACCTACAGCTCCAAAGTGCGGAGGGAGATTTTGAGCCAACGGGATACGAACCATAAAACTTACGGACCGCAGTCCAACAAACTAAATACTAGGTAGTTTTGGCCCGAAGTAGAAATAGTTTGTGGTTTATATATGAATATATCTTTTAATTATTTTCTCAAATTTTCATTTAACTTTGCAAGCATGATTCATAAGAGATCGTACAAGAAATTATTCGGGTTCAATTCGGGTTTTTTTACATGCGAAGGATTACCTTTTAATTGATATGTACTTACAGACTAAATAAATAAGAAACTAATCGGTTTTAAACAACCAAAACAGTTTGTGCTATATATTATAAATTGCATAATTGTCAAGTTATACCTGTGTATTATACGAAAAGTCATTACATCGTCCTAAGATATCCTGCCTTACCAAAACCATCAACCTCCATCTTAACAGCAGTAATACTATATAATGTTGGATGTAATGTTGATTAACTGTTGAATACTCTATTTAAGGTTTGGCGACATGTTCACGGACCTTTACTTGCTTATAGATTATGTGATTTGTTATAAAAGACATTTAAGGAGACACGCAGTTGTGCTAATACCACAAATAGCCAGTCAACAACAAACACCACTATCTTTTGGATAACTGTTGCCTCGCGGAATGGTGGAATTTGACAATTGTTCTTAGAGCGCACAAAGAGCAAAGCCACGTTGAGTTACCTGCTGTGTCCATCGCGGGGTGTGTGCGTGTGTTTTATAGCAAAGCCACATCAGGCTATCTGCTTTGTCCACCGAGGGGAATCTAACCCCTGATTTTAGCGTTGTAAATCCGTAGACATGCCACTGTAGGCATTAACGCCTGATTTTAGCAACGTAAGTCCGTAAACCAAACGCTATCCAAACAGCAACAAGACGTTAACCACTATGTCACATCCGATCCCGGTCAGTTTAAAAAATTATATCTTACTACGTATGGAAACTTTAGCCAAGTTTATCTAGCTATACTTATCAAATATCATAACCTGAGATATACCGATTATCTCAGGTAACCCTGCAACTGTTAACATATCTTACAAGTGAACAGGTGGGCAGAACGTCCGTTCTCTTTGTTTCGATTGTAAAAGAAAATACAGAATCAGATTATTTTAATATACAGGTAGAAATAGGAAGCAAGAAATTCTGCTTTTTCTAGATTTTCCGTCTTATTTGTGACCTCTGTGGAGTTAAGTACAATTCGTGGATTAGTTCGATTATTAGTGATGCAAGAAATTAGTAGAGATGAAAGCAACGCGTGTAGTGGAGTGATAGTAAGGATTAATCTTGGATACTAATCTCCGATGTTACTTTCATTACACAATTTCCAGCCAGAATGATCATACAGGTTTTTTACTGATTACTTACTAAAATGACATTTAGTGGAGTGATAGTAAGGATTAATCTTGGATACTAATCTCCGATGTTACTTTCATTACACAATTTCCAGCCAGAATGATCATACAGGTTTTTTACTGATTACTTACTAAAATGACATTTAGTGGAGTGATAGTAAGGATTAATCTTGGATACTAATCTCCGATGTTACTTTCATTACACAATTTCCAGCCAGAATGATCATACAGGTTTTTTACTGATTACTTACTAAAATGACATTTAGTGGAGTGATAGTAAGGATTAATCTTGGATACTAATCTCCGATGTTACTTTCATTACACAATTTCCAGCCAGAATGATCATACAGGTTTTTTT